CACTTCACTCACGGACGCAACTACCTATATTACTGGTTGGATAAAGTCCACACCCCCCCTAGGCTTCCCTTGCCACTTTTGGTCCCCCATAATATTTAACAACAGTACGTTTGCTCCCCGGACCCAGATGATATCTAGGTGCACCACTTACTACACTTTTTACTTTTTACTGTCTCAAAGTAATGACTTAACACGTACATTCCTTCATTTATGTTTTCTTTGTATTTCTTTGATATGCATACCGTTTTAAATTCCTCTTCCTCTCATTTTTCATTAGGTCAGGTGTGGCCTAGTGGTTAGCGTGGTCTATCTGCGACTCCGGGGTTTAAGAGAATGGCGGCCAATTGCCGCAAAAACGCGTTCTACCCTTTGAGGCCGTGGTTGAGTTGCGCTATAAGAAAGTCAGTTAGGTTCTACTATTCGATCAAACAAGAGTAGCTCAAGAGTTGACGGTGGGAGCTGTTCTAGGTTTCCCAGTTCAGAATTGGGGGCTGCTACGCGTCCTTTGTGTAACTTCTGAAACAAACTAATAAGCGTTTTTTTTTGTTTTTTTTTCCATCATTTTCACTCTTATCAGGTACGCCCCCCCCCAGTGGCACAGCGGTATGTCTGCGGACTTACAACGCTAGAAACCGGGTTTTGATACCCGTGGTGGGCAGAGCACAGATAGCCCATTGTGTAGCTTTGTACTTAACTACAAACAACTTATCAGGTACCTTTATACTCATGCTTATCAAAAATTAAATCTTTACAACTGAATTTGGAAATACTTTTGTTAGGTTTGTTTCTTATCATTCAACGAACGTCATGTAGTAATGCTTATCTTTTCGGGGGGGCTTGAAATGTGAAATATTGTAATGAAAATCGACTCCATGTTTGATTGTTTGAAGTCATAAACTCCATTAAGTGTAAGCTAAATGACTATTATATATATATATAAATCCATACCGAAATGAGCCCTAGATCTTTAACTTTGATTGTAATTAAGCACAAAGCTACACAAAGGGCTATCTGTGCTTTGACCACCACGGGTATCGAAACCCGGTTTTTAGCGTTGTAAATCAGCAGACATACCGTTGTGCCACTGGTGGGGGAGGGGCGAGCTTTATCTCTTGTAATAACATTTATCTAAAAGTAATAAAAACACATTATACGTCAAGTTTAAAGTTAGACTGGTTCTTCCATTTACGTAGCAGCTTTCGTGACTTCAAAGAGGTAATGACTTGTGAACTGAACATAGAAGTGCATAGTATAATGTATACGAGGGATTACGGGGAGGAAGCAAGGGGTAGTTGCCCCCACATTCTTAAGTGGGGTATAGAATACATACAACATTTACATTAATTAAATCAGACTTTTTTACCCCCCACACACACATTTGGGGAAGGAGCAAGGAGTAGTTGCTCCCACTTTTTTATGTGGGGTTAAGGATACATACGACATTCACAATAATTAAATCAGACTCCCCCCACCCCCAAATACACACACATTTTGGTACTGAACGGTATAATCAGATGATACACATTTTTAATTTACCCTTTGGGCTTTAGATGAAGAGCTTTAAATATATAACATAACTCAACTTTTGATGAACAACTCACCAAAGTCCTGGACAGAATATTATCAATGCTCTAAACCTGTTGCTTATAATAATAATATCTAAGGTGTGACCTTAACATGGGAGACCCTGAAAATTAATAATTTGTAACTAAAATATTTTAGAACAGAATACTCGTAATAGCTAAACATACGAAATTTGGTATAAACTAAATATTAGGATGGACGAGAGAAAATTAGAAAGATGGCCCATGAACTTAGATAATTATGTCGTGGGTTAAGTTTCTTAAGTTATGTTTCAATTAGTCGCTACTGAATTTCCAGTAATATTACTGCTGACTATATTGGTAAGGAAGTATTCTTTCAAACATCCTTTATGATTTTTCTAGTATTGTTACTGTTGACTGTATCTGTGAGGAAGTATTCTTTCAAACATCGCTTTTGATTTTTCCAATATTGCTATTGTTGGCTATATTGTTAGGGAAGTATTCTTTCAAACTTCGCTTTTGATTTTTCCAATATTGCTATTGTTGGCTATATTGTTAGGGAAGTATTCTTTCAAACATCGCTTTTGATTTTTCCAGTATTGCTATTGCTGGCTATATTGTTAGGGAAGTATTCTTTCAAGCATCGCTACTAATTTTCTGGTATTATTACTGCTGGCTAAGTTTTCTCTTTGACATCAGTATACTTGTCTCATACTCATTACTTTTCCATCATTTTTCTGTCAAATCCACTTCATTCACGGACGCAACTTCTGACAGTAATATTAAAAAATAAATTATTACTCGCATACCGAAAAAAATAACTTGTTTTTTCTTAGTCGATTTAACAGAAATGTACGTGATGGCACTTGTTTACCTTTCTAAATGTTAAAAACCCGCGAGCCTTCCGGGGGCTTCGTCCTCTGGACTCCTGGTCTAAAATATCTGACCCCCCTCCCCCTCCGATAAGTTGCCATGATCCGCAGCGGAGCTTATTACCCCAAAACATTCTTTAGAAATGAAAACAAACAAAATAACATAGGCTTTTCAAATGCGTTTATTCGAATATATTCCAACGGTAAACTCATAAATACGAATCATTTTATTTGACCTAATTCTAAATGCGCCTTTACATTTGAAATTTTCTTCATAACTCAATATAAGGTTTATAACTCTTCCAAAGAGAAGAGCAACTGGAGACAAATAATGCTAAAGAATCACAGTTACTATGATAAAAACAAACGAAAGTTCTGTAAAGTGTTTTGTAACTCATACTTAATCAATAATACCTTCACATTATTTACGAGTTGTACGAGAATAAAACAACGTCTTACACACCATAGAATAACAATGCAAATGTTTGTTTGTTGTTAAGCATAAAGCCACTTAATGGGCTATCTGTGCTGTGTCCACCACGGATATCGAAACCCGGTTTTTATCGTTATAAGCCTTTAAGACCTCCACGGTGCAAATGATTCGAGAGACGTATGCGAGGTTGTACCATTCTTTCTGCTTCATTTTGCCGCTCCGTTGGTCAGAGGTAAGCTTCCGGACTTAAAATGCTAAAATTTGGGATTCGATTCTCCCCGGTGGACAGAGCGCAGATAGCACAATGTATTTTAAAATACAAATACCAAGATCAACCAGGTACCGTAGTTCCGAGCTTCGCTTGTTCTCATCAGTCTAGCTTATATATAGATCGATAGCCGAGTGTTACACAAGTGAACTTTATCTGTCTTTAGGTGCGGATTTAATTTCGACACTTAATAACATCATTCCACTCTTTCACATCGAAAGTGTTCTTGAGGCTGTTTAACTATTCAGCTTAGCACTCGGGTTTTCATCGCTTTGGGAAAGCCTGGATTGTAAAATCTGCTCACACTCCGTAACATATTTATGAACAACTGATAGCTGCCCTACGTTACAGTTTCATATCGGCAAACTGCTTTCGTTTTGACAAAAATCTTAATATAGATAGTGATCTCCCTGTATGTTTGTTTAGCATGCTCTAATCAATAAGGATTTTGTATGTTAAGATTCAACGGTAGAAAGTACTCATTTTCTCCAGTAATCTTTACTTTAATTTTTTTTTCAGCTAGTGAAAAATATTACTTCGTAATAAAAAAAAACAAAAACGATTTTCATGATTGAACATTTATGTGAATACATTAAAAATTTACATGCATATTTAATAAAAACAACTTACGGTTGTCATCCTCCTTTAACTGTAATATACTTCTAAACTTACTATTATTTTGCTCTTCATGTAAGTTAGATGTGTCAAATATAAACGTCAATATTTGAGCGTATAGCATTCAGAATGTCCTGTAACTGTGTATTTAGCAATTCATTATATCTCTAATATATAAATATCATTATATTTAGCAATTCATTTATATCTCTAATGATATAAATATCATTATATTTAGCAATTCATTATATATTTCTAATGATATAAATATCATTATATTTAGCAATTCATTATATCTCTATTTATTATTTATTTCATTTTCTGAAAATTATGTTTCCCTCCTTGTTTGACCTACTACGACAAATCCTCGGTAAAGAAAAACACGGATATTACTGGTAAATTCCACAATTATTTAGAAAAGCTGTCAGTAATTTTATTTTTAAGGAACCAGTTCGCCCTAACTTAGTATATTAATAAAGATTTTCATCCATAAATATTGAAGAGTAATTGAGAACACAGTCGATGTTTTTATGAAATCTCAAAGTTTATATAAATTTAATCTCCCACTCCCGAACCAAACATGGCCAATTACTAAAGGAATCCATCCACCTATTCCACAGGTGTTTTAATTTTGAAGCAGAAGTACGAGCGCTCCAATGATACACACTTGGTTTGCTTTGTTTGTTATTGAGTACAAAGATACACAACGGGCTGTCTGTGACGTATGCTGTGCCCGCACCGCGAATATCGAAATTGGATTTTTAGTGTTACAAGCCCTTAGACTTTTCGCTGAGCCAACGATCCACTAATAAGGATGACGCATTGTTTTAGAAAGAAAAAATGCGGATAACTTGTTTATTTAAAGAAATTTATCGACTAATCCAATAATATTTCCAGAATTGAAACTTTAAGATGGAAGTTCAAAACAAATTTAAGTATTTTATATAAATTAATCATGAATCACTTCCAACATAAGAAAATCAAATAATAAACTCGCACTCTATTGCAACTTAAAACCCTCCACCCCTAAATTAACATACATATAACCGTCTAACGTGAATCTAAAATCTCCTTCTTCCAATAAATTAACATAAATATAAAAATCTAATTTATTGAATATAATATAAATGTCTTGACTGTGCCAAGGAGTACATAAGTTCTACCAATAGGTTAGTCTCATAAAAGAACTAGAATACATCGGGATTTTTACCAGTTTTGCAGAATATGCTTCCCTATATGTAATTGTCTTTTATTTGTGTGGTTTTTAGTGATGTTAGGACACGAAGTAAGAGCTGGTGATGTTTTGCAGTTGCGTACAAAAGAAAATCTGCTGATTGTTAAACTGTGGCCAGCTGTAAACCAATGAAGGTCAGTCTGTCCTTTACACATCGAACTGTGGATTATCTAAAAAAAAATTGTTTTTAAACCATATAGAGTTTGAAACTGATGATAAGATGCATTAATAAGATGACGAGGACTTTGGTTTTGGAGAGGGGGGCATACTATCATACACACATCGTTTTCGAAGTCAACAAAGACAATTGACACATTTTTGAAGAATATATAATGTTAAAGAATCAATCTAATCGGACTTGTAAAAGTCGGTTTAGACTTTTTTTGAAGGCATGATCCAAATAATTGAGATCGAACCTGAGGCACTGTGTCCGACACTGTTATTAAAATATATGATTGCATGACGAAAAATTGCTCTTTTTTTCATTCTAGTAAACAAGATTTGTTATCTTTCTTTTTTATCAAACGTACTTTCGTCATTTCATTTCAGTATATGGATTTCGGAGCTTGCGAAGCGTGTTCGAATCTGTGCGATGCTACAAAATATGCTCTGCTTTCTAAGCTGTGAGTGCGCTAAAGGAGCGACAATCAGTCCCTTAGCGTTGTTATGGTGCTTCTGACTGGCTGCCTTCTGTCTGATCGGTAGCTGAAAATTATGGATAGCAGTAGTTAGCCTTAGTATTTTGCCATAAATACAAGATACAGATACACCCATCCTTGGAATCACCTTCCAACTACATCCTGTTTGGTTTGAATAAATAGTAATAATAATAAAAACATTAAAGTGCAATAAATTAAAAGCACAGATATGACAATTTGACCAGAAACTCTAGAAGTCTTCTGGACTTTTGAATAACATACAATTTGAACAAGGGTATTTTTGGAATGTAATTGGTCTTTGGAGTCTTGTATTTCCACGGTGTAAATGAAATACAACTTTTACTGCTTAATATAGGCCCATTTGGAAGATCTAAACGACTACAGATTCGACTCGGAGGGCGACCACCAGGAGGAGTTTGGGAGTGCCATAAATCGGGTGAAGATGGAAGATATTGGTGATCCTGAGGTTCTTGCAAAATTCAAACGGCAAGAACAGGAAGAAAGGGAAGAAATAGAACGCGAGATTAAGGCCCACAAAGAAAGAATACAACGGGAAGCTGTAGCAGCAATTCAAAGACAAGCCCACGTTGCCATGGGGATCACATCTCCAACATCTTTAATCACATCATCTGCGACAAGTCTCTCTTCTCCACCTCCTGCCTTTCCCATGTTTCTTCCGCAACTTCCCAGCCGACTAATGACAACTACTCTACCCCATTCCACAAGTCCAGGAAGTTCAGCCTCTCAGTCCATCCCTTCTCCTTCAGTGAACAGCAATGCAGCATCAACCAGTAGCCAAACCCCGAATCAAGACCTCAGTAAATATTCCTTTGAAGAACAATTTGGCCAGGTATGTACTTGTCATCTTACATTTTACTTTTTATTTTTAAAACAGGTAATTTTTTCTAAATAAGTATGAAACTTGTATCATATCGTAACTCGGTGCTTGGGTGAGCCGTTGATGTGTATGTGACTCTAAAAATCACCCATAAGTCTTTTAATTGTCTGATTCATGATTTTTCTTTCTCTTCTTTATGCACGGTCGCGGTTTTTTGTATATATTTATACAATATATGATCTGTTTTTTTGTCTTCGCCAAATGATATGAGAACGATTTTTCTCACTATTTAGAAAACATTTTTACTTTGACTCATCATTAAGCATCTCCCAATGACTCAGAGGAAAGTCTGAAGGCTTATAACGCTAAAAACCGGGTATCGCGGTGAGCACAGCATCGATAGCACATTAACAACAAATAAACATCAGTTGGCAACATAAACAGTTCAATTAAACAAAAGATTTAAACGTTACATTTTTTTAAAGTTTATCCTGAATAATGCTAGTTAGGCACAGTCTTACGGGCAAATGTTTCTCTGTAAAGTTGAATCTTTCTGCATGAAAAGTCATTTATAAATTTGATAATGTTACTGCTGTGCAAACTTTGCATAAAAGTATAGTGCTACTTCAGTTAATAATAAAATATTTTCTTAATTTCTTTACAAAATATTCAACATCTTGACGACTTGTGCCCGTATACTGACTGTTTAATGTTCAACCTCAGTGAGAATTTAAAATAGAAGGTCAAAATTATGGTCGTAATTATAGTAACTTATTTTCACTGCTGTTTAACAATACACTGAGTTTCGTAAACAATTATTTAAAACAAATTTAAGTGAGTGCGTAATACAGCACCAGCTTACGATGTAAAAAATAACTTGTTTTATTATTATTGACGGAAAGAATGCAGAGCAATTACAAGATGAACCTTTTTGTGGAAAAGATAAAAATACAATCAAGCCAACATGTTTGTCTTTTATTTAATTTATTATAAGTATTTATAAATGATCACACACATACCGTATTGATCTTAATTTGCCCCCTAGTGGCACATCGGTATATCTGCGGACTTGCAACGCTAGAAACCGGGTTTCGATACCCGTGATGGGCAGGACACAGATAGCCCATTGTGTAGCTTTGTTCTTAACTATAAACAAACAAGTGATCGTAATTTAATTACTTCTCAAAGACAAGAAAGTAATTTGTTTTAATGTACGATAATTTACAGCAGATCTAAGCATTAATAATACGGTACTATAAAGCAGATAATACAACTTCAATGAAATATGTGGAAAGATAAAGGTTTCTTCACTCACCATTAGGGGGTACCAGCGATACAATTTTCTGATCCATTTTGGTGTAATCCAAAAGTCCAGGATGGTGTTACATTATGGTAATCCCACAAAAACTTTTTACATATTTTGTATCTGAGGGTCGCGGGTTCGAATCCCCGTCCCATCAAACATGCTCGCCCCTTTCAGCCGTGTGG